CCCGCCCTGCGCCCGCTCCTCATCCGGGCCGCGTTCGCCCCGTACAGACCGCGCACGGAACCCACTGCCCTACCACGCGCTGGCCCCCGTCAGCCCCGCCCCGCCCCGCCCCGCCCCGCCCCGCCCCGCCCCGCCGCGCCGCGCCGCAGGCCCCGCCCCGGAACGCGCGCGCGCCGTGATGCACAAGATCTGTGACGCACAAGGTCTGCGCCGCACGCCGGGCCCAGCGCCGTCAGGAGGCTCCGCCGCATGGGCGTGGCTATCCGCTTTCCCGCAGCCCCAGGTCACCACGATCTCCCCGGTCACCGCGATCTCCCCGGTCTCCACGGTCCCCGCGGCCCCGCAACCTTAGGCCATGGCCCCCACGGCCGCCAGCCCCCCGGAGGTAGTCCGTGCGGCGCAGAAGGACGACTACTACCGCGGCGGGCTGCGGAGCGCGGCGGGCGGCACCCTGCACAGCCTCGCGGGTGAGCCCCCGCGGGGCCGCGGGGGCGCGAAGCGGGCCGACGAGCCTCAGGCCCCCCGGTCAGCCCCCCGCAGGCTCGGCCAGGCCTTGCTCGCCCCCCCAAGACCTGAGGCGAAGGAAGGGTTTTGCCCCCTGCTGCCGGAGGCGGGGGTGGGGGCCGGACACCAGGCGTGGAAGAGTCCACGGCTCTGGGGACACGGGGACTCTCCCGTGGAGCAGCGGCGTCGGAGCCCAGTGGAGGGGCAAGAGCGTGGGGTGGATTCCAGACGACAGCGGGCTCCTCTTCGGAGTAGCCGAAGCGAGGCTGGGCCGTAGACTCGGGCGGGTAGCCATGGGCAGGTTTTGAGCAGGAGGGACACGACACGATCAGAACAAGTGGCCCGTGTATTCGTTTTGCTAACACATTCACTTACTCTGTGCCGGACACTGTTCTCCGTGCTTCAGAACGTTAACTCATTTTATTCTCGACACATCCCCGTGAGTGGGACCTGTTGCTAGTCCCCTCCTTAGAGACAGGGAAGTGGGGATTCCAGAGAGATCTTGTAACTTCCTGAGGTCACAACCAGCAGTGTGGGGAGCTGGGATTTGATGCTGGATGCGTGGTCTCGGCTTGAGCTCCTGGTCACTGTACTACACTGCCCTTGTGGCCCTTCTGGGCTCTAGAGCAGTTGCCCAGGCGGGTCCTGGACGGGGAGGTGGCTGCAGGTTGGTAAGTTCTCAGGATACTCAGTGGCCCAGGCGAGGCAGGTATAGATGGAGCAGAGTGGACAGCACAGGAGGCCAGGGAGAGAACAGAGTGTGGTTTAGGACAGTCTCAGCCGCGTGGAAGGGTGACGGGGCTGGGCCTTGGCAGCAGGAAGGAAGCTCGTTCCTCATCCTTACGCTGCACCACCCTCGCCCCAACCCCTCAGAACTGACGTGGTTCCTCCTCTCAGGTGCGAAGAAGTGGCTGGAGTGCAGGAGAGAGATTGAGCTGGTGTCGGATGCCGCCTACTTTGGCCTCACTACACTGGCAGGTAGCAGCCCCTGGCAGGATCTCAAGGCCCACAACACACGCCGAGCCCAGAGGACAGGAGAGGGGCTGCCAGCAGAGTGAGAAGCTTCTGGAGGTGCTTCTCAGTGCCCCCGGAGCTGGGCCGCATGCAGCCTCAGGGAAGGAGGGGACCCCAAACCCTTTCCCTAGGTGGGAGGCCAGGCCCTGAGCCCAGGCTGGGGCCTCTGGAAGCTCTGCAGTACCCCTGTCACGTCTGTCTGGGACCGTTTCTCTGTGGCTGAACCCGTGTGGCCCAAGAGGGGTCCCAGCGCTGAGCCCTGTCACGGGGCCTGGGCTATGAGGATTGTAGGGACCCAGTAGGGAAGTCGCTGGCAGGTCCCTGCCCGTCTCTCTCACCGGTCCCTCTCCCCACAGGCTACCAGACCCTCGGGGAGGAGTACGTCAGCATCCTGCAGGTGGACCCGACCCAGGGCCGAGTGCCCTCGAGGTTGCGCCGCGGGATACTGGTGGCGCTGCACACCGTCCTGCCCTACCTGCTGGACAAGGCTCTGCTCCACCTGGAGCACGAGCTGCAGGCCGATGGCGACGGCGCCTGGCCCTCACGGGGCAGCCTGGCCCCCGGTGCCCGTGGCCAGTCGGGGGCAAGGCGCTGGATGCGCCGGTGCACGGCCACCCTGACGGAGCAGCAGCAGGGGACGCTCCTGCGGGCTGTGTTGGTGTTCAGGCAGGGCCTCGGGTGCCTCCAGCGTCTCCACGTCGCCTGGTTCTACATCCATGGCGCCTTCTACCACCTGGCCAAGAGGTTCACAGGCATCACCTATGTAAGTCACAGGTGCCGCCTGGGCCCGCTCTTCTGCAGGGGACCTCCGTCCCCGAGCACAGTCACAGGGCCAGAGCTGAAAGCCTCCACTGGAAACGTCGGTCTTGTCAGGTCCCGTTTTGCTGAAAGACCTGCACAGGTCTGGTTTCCATAAACCCTGAGGGTAGGCCGAGTCTGTCTTCCTGCCGCCAGCACGTGTGGCTGCCCCGCTCTGTACCCTGAGCGCAGGCCTGGGGCCCCGGCTCCTGGGCCCCATGCCCACCCTTCCAGGCCGCCCTGACAAAGGGTCAGGTGTAGGGACACCCTGATGGTGACCCTACAGCGACCCTGTTGCCGCCAGCATCCCCGCTAGCCTCCCCTGGGCTCCGACCGCTGCAGGCACTCTGACCCTCCTGAGTCTCAGCTGATGCCCTTGCTCCCAGGTTCACCCGGAGGGCCTTCCCTTGGGCCCCCTGCCTCCCCGGAGGTCTCCAGGCTCCCTTGGCAGTGCTGTCTCGGCACATGCACCCCCTCTCCTCAGCCCAGCCCCAGTCCTCACCGCGTTTGCTCTACCTCTTAGGTAGGGTGTTTGCTAAGCTGCTGCCACAGAGGGGCCTGGAAACACGGGCTCAACCCAGTCAGGGCATTGGGGGCTGCCACGGGGCTCTTCCTACGCAGGCAACCAGGGCCCTGCCTCTCGGGCTCCAGGCTCTGGCCAGTCTGGCTGACCTGACTGTCCCCATTCCCTGGGGGGAAGGAGACAGAAGCGGGGGGCAAGCAGCTTTCCCTTGGGGGACGTGGCCGGGAGTCCCAGCTGTGGAACATCACCCGGGTAGTCTGGTGCCTTGCTAGAAGCGGGAGCTTCTGTTCCTCCCACGGGGCTGAGTAGTGGGTCTGCCATGCTTGGCGCCCCTCCCATCCCACTGGGCACCCCTGCTCAGGCTTCTTTGTCAGTTCTCTTTCTATGAGGCTTGGGGGCCTGGTCGTCCCCCCTCTCCCCGCAACACCTTGCCTGCAGCCTAGTGACTGCACGCTTCGAGCTTCATGGCCGTCCTCGCTCAGTGCTGGGCTCCCGCCGGGGGTGAGGCCCTGAGCTGTCCAGCTGCGCCCCCCGCCAGCTGCCAGCCAGCGCAGAGCCTGCCAGGTGCCGCTGCCCCATCCCGCAGCCAGAGGGCAGGCCTTGGCTTCGTCCCACAGGGGAGGCCTGGCCCCTGAGCCACTCAGTGCCTCGTGCCAACGGATCATGTGACTGTCCCCCCCCCCGCCCGGTCCCTGACAGCTCCGTGTCCGCCATCCGCACGCAGAGGACCCTCGGGCCCGTGCCAGCTACAGGCTGCTGGGGCTCGTGTCCCTGCTGCACCTGGCACTGGCCGCGGGCCTGCAGCTCTACGGCTTCCGGCAGAGGCAGCGCGCCCAGAGGGAGTGGAGGCCGCAGCGTGGCCTGTCCCACCGCAGGTGCGCAGGGCTGTGCCGGGGCGGGGGCTACCCAGCGCCACACGGAACTCAGGCTCAGTTCTGTCCCATCGTCCCCCCTCTCCTGCCAGGAGCTACGCAGAGAGAGCAGTTTCCAGAACCTCGCTGTGCACCCTGTGCCTGGAGGAGCGCAGGTACTCGACGGCCACGCCCTGCGGCCACCTGTTCTGCTGGGGCTGCATCACCCACTGGGCCGACACCAAGGTGAGCGTCCTGAGCGTAGGCCCCCGGGCCACCCCCGCTGCACTGGGCCCGCTACCTGCCTCCACAGCCACGCTTGTTCGGTGGCGGGGGGGGGGGGGGGGGGGGGGGGGTGCCTGTTTTTAAAAGCCCCCGGCTGGGCTGGAGGCAGGGAGCTGCGGTGGCCGGAAGCCTGCTGTGACAGTTCTGCTTCCAAAAGGAAGGCCCCAGCCACCCACCTGGGAACCCTCTGACCGAGAGCCGCCTGCTCGGCCTTGAGATCTCAGGGTGTGGGGTCCAGGGGGCCAGAGCAGGGAGCTCTGCCACCTTACTCCTGCGCTGGCTTCAGGGAGGGGCCGGTCCCAGGCCCCGCGTACCTCCGCTCCGTCTCTCCTTGGGGCCTGAGGTCAAGCCCGCCTCGTTACTGGGATGTCCTGTCCACACGCTGCCCAAGGAGCCTTTCTCAGGGCCTGCAGGGCGCAGTGCTGCAGCCTCCTCTGTGGGGTCCAGGCCGCTCTGCGAGGCCCCGGGGCACACTCATGCCTGGCACGCAAAGGGCTGACCTTCCCGGGCCAGGAGGGACCCGGCCCTGAGGGTGGAGACAGGGGACCCGTGAGCTCACACCCAGAAACTCCAAGAGGTTCAGGGCAGCCACGGTTGTTCCGCAGCCAAGCGCCCTCCCTTGTCCCAAGTCACCCGTGGCCTGGCCATCTCCTCACTGGTCACCGTCCCTGCTCTGCTCCCCGACTGCCCGCATCATCTCAAAAAAACGTTTTTCTGTCTTAATGGAGACGTGTGTACATCCGTGTTTTACTGGAGATGCCAGTGGGGGAGGGACCCCTGGGGTTGTAGGGGTCACAACCCGTGACCTTCCTCCTCCCCCCACAGATGGAGTGTCCCCTCTGCAGGGAGAAGTTCCTCCCCCAGAAGCTGGTCTACCTGCGGCACTACCGCTGACCCGACGGAGGGAGGAACCCAGGAGTCTTTCCTGATGTCAGGAGCAAGTTTATTCTCAAGGTTGACAAGTTGACTGTACTTGCACAGAAATCATGAAACTCTCAAGTCTTTTATTCTCTGTCACATGAGATAACCGTGCCAGCCGCCGGGGAGGACAGGCGCTGGACCTGGACCTGGCCGTGAAATGGCTTCAGGGCAGGTTGGGCAGGGCCTGCAGGGCTGCCAGCCAGACAGCTCAGCACTTAAACAGAACTTCCCTCCCTTCCCCAAACCGGTCGTTTATATCCAGTACCAGGCACACAGTGAGGGCAGGGCCAGACGGGCCAGGACTGAGCAAGGGCCGGGAACCAGCAGCCTGCCTTCCCAGCGTGGTCAGTCTTCCAGCCCAAACGACCCACAGACCTTAACCCTCGTCACTGGAGCCGGCTTTTGGGGTGAGGGGGCACAGCCCTTCCTGGAAAGGAGCTGTGATCGCCCCCTAACACATTTGGCACGTGCCTTCTAATAAATGTCAAGTTAGTTTCCCGTTTTAGAAAATGGAGGGCTTCCCTGGTGGCGCAGTGATTAAGAATCTGCCTGCCAATGCAGGGCACATGGGTTCAAGCCCTGGTCCAGGAAGATCCCACATGCCGCGGAGCAACTAAGCCTGTGCGCCCCAGCTACTGAGCCTGTGCTCTAGAGCCTGCGAGCCACAACTACTGAGCCTGCGCGCCTAGAGCCCGTGCTCCACAAGAGAAGCCACTGCAATGAGAAAGCCGCGCACTGCACCGAAGAGTAGTCCCTGCTCCCCGCAGCTAGAGAAAGCCCGCACTCAGCAACAAAGACCCAACCCAATGCAGCCAAAAATAATAAAATAAATTTTAAAAATAAAGAAAATGGAAGTGTGCGTCCTGGCCTCTCAACACGAGCGGTCTCCTCCTGCTTGGAGCGCCTGGCGGGCCCCAGCCAGCCTGACCCACTGAGGCCACCCGTCTCCAAAGCTGGTGGTGGGCCAGCTTGCCTACACCGGCTCACTGCTGTGTCCAACACACTTCCTGCCACCTTTTTTGTTATTTTCAGGTTTTTACATCTACCTAAGCTGTGCAGAGACAGGACTTTGCCGTAGGCATCCTTACACCACCAATTCCACAGAAGTGCTGGTGTGTTAGCGCCGTGAGGTGAATGGAAGCCCGTGTGGAAGGGGCCCTCCCAGGGCCCCTGCAGGCCGCTTCTCCCTCCATGTGACTCTGTGGGAGTGGTGATGCAGGAACAGAGACTCCTCGGTGAGCAGAGGTCAGCCCCAGAGGCAGGCCATGACCGTGGGCCCTGCTCCGGACAGGCAGGAGCCCCAGGGGAGGCTCCACGGTTCCCAAAACCCCTTACTTACACTCACCAAGTGCCTGCAATTTCCCGTATTTCAGGCCTGTGCATTTACCAGGAAAACAGTATGAAAAACAAAACAAAAAAAAGTCTATAGAGTTTGAACACCTCAGGTGCCACAATGTGGTAATAAAAGTACCGATTTGGACATCATTTACACATGAAGTTAAAATTCAGGATCGGGTACACAAATGGTCTTCATACGGCCTCTTAAAAGCAAGAGGAGCTCAATTTCAGCTATGCAAAACCTGGCAAAAGAAAAGCCAGGCGGTAAACACTCGATGTCTGAAACCCGCAGACAGATGGAAATGGCGCTTGCAGCAGGGAGTGGGAACAGACCACTGGTGTCTGGGCCGCGGCCTCAGCAGCACGGCCCGCCCTCCAGGGAGGCCGCACTCCCCGGCCAGGCCCTCACAGTGCCGGAGGCGTAGCGGGTTAGATGAAGACTACAGGAGAGCAGGGACGTTGTCTTTAATGAAGTTGGAATTAAAAAGTCACTCGGTAAAATGTTTACGAGTATTGGTTTTTATCACATCAAAAAAGTTGACATGCAAGTCAGAGCTGTTTCCCTGTAGAAAGTGGGAAGCCATGTGTTAAAAGCCACAGAACTGGCTGCTCCTGCCAGGTGTCTCTGAAAAGGGGCTGCTGCGTGAGAACACGTTTAAGTTAAAACAACCCTTCACGTATCAAAGAAATGTGTCAAAATAATCTCAAACAATTAAAATATATATATTTATAATTCCAGGCCCTCAGAAGCAATCATGGTAGTTAAGAACGAAGTTTTGAGTCATCGTGATAGAGGCCAACTCAACACATCTCTAGCGAGATGAGATTCGGAAACCGGCATCAGAGCCCAGAGCTGCTGCAGCATCTCCTCCACGTGCCGGACGGACAGGCGAGCGACCTCCGGGGCCACGGTGAGCGTCCTGGGAGGCAGCAGCTGGCGTCCTGGCTCCTTCCGCGGGCCCGGCCCCCCGCCCCCACCCCCCAGCCCGCACGGCTGTCCGCCCGGCCTGCGCTCTGCAAGGCCAGCGTCTGGACGCCTGACCGGCACTGGAAAATAAATCAATGCGATTCGGTTTAAATGCCAGTTTCTTCAAGAACCTGATATTTCAGTTACAAATAATTGAAGCTCCTTTTTAAAAAGAAAATAACTCCCTTGTAACCAACTACTTTATGTGAGGAAAGGAGACAGCGTCACAGCAACTTGCGGCCGTCCAGGGCCCGCGGAAGGCGGCCGCGTCTAGCTGGCGAACGTCTTGCCCACGTCCTCCTTCCCCTTGTACGTCCTCTTGCCGTGCGTGAACGGGATGTACCGGTACTTGATCATGTGCTGGGGACAGGCAGACGCGTCTCAGCACAGCTTCCCCGTGACCCACCTTCCCTCCAACTCTGAGCCCCACCTTCTCCACGTACTGGGCGTGGAGCCAGAGCTCCGGCAGACACCCCCGTCCCCCCACTGCCCAGCGGAGCCAGCCGAGCTGCTGAAAACCCTGAGGGTGTGGGATGGGCTTCATGACGCCCTGCGTGCCAGACGGGCTAGCGCTACTGAGGTGGGGACGTGGGATGGGTGGCACCCGGGCCCAGGTGGTTGGGGGGGTGGGGAGGCCAGGATGAAGCCGCACCACCCTGTCTGGCCAGGCCTGTTCTAGGGTGATGTTGGCAGGGCACACCACCCGGGAGGTCCTGGGCCCCGACTGTCGCACAGTATGATGTGCCAGACCTGAGGGTGTTAACTGGCTGTGCTGCGCTGGCGGGGAGCGGGCACCACACCCATCAGACCTGCGGGGAGAGCAGGGTCCACACGGCCCTCCCGTGCCTCGGGCCCGAGCCGGCTCTCGCAGAGCTGTGAGTGCCGGGTGGCGCGGCCCCACGGCGCACAGGCGTCAGGGTCGTACCTTTATTTGCCGCTTCATCGTGATACAGAAGAGCATGAGGAAGTACATGACGAGGATGGGCCAGAACACCGGCACGTTGAACGCCTCGAAGAAGGTGCAGGCCGTCGCCACCAGGACGCCCTTGGTCGCGGCGTGCCTGCGGGAGGAGAGAAGGTCAGTGCGGGACGGCGGCCCCACGGACGATGTGCGTCTCCACTTGCGGAGCGGGCTGGGCGCTGCGTGTGGCGCGTCTGACGTTCCACGTGTGAACACGGACACGGCGTTCTTAGTCCCTTGGACACTCAAAGTTTTCTGAAATTACACAAAGTGTACAAGGGCAGTGGGGGCCCCGGCACTGCCCAGGCCAGCGGCTGGGGGATGCAGATGCCCCCCATGTGCTGCTGGGGCCCACGTCTAGAAATCCAGTCCCAAGTCTCGAGGCTTGAGTCCCACACGCCCAGCAGGCCATCCCCCAGTGGCCGAGCAGTGTCCCCAGGAGAAGCAGGTGGAGTCAGGCCTCAGGGCCACCCTCCCTCAGGCTTAGGGCCCAACCCATCAGGGTCACAGCCCTCCTTAAAATCCCCCTTGGTCTCCCTTTCCTAGAGAACAAAGGCCACCTCAGAAGGCGGGCAGGACCCGGCCTTGCCCGCTGCCCACCCTCCCCCGGCAGCCCCGGGCCCAGCGTTTCACACTCATCCCACAGGGACTCACCGAGTGCCTGCACGGCCACCCCTGCACCAGGCTGAAGGGCGGCAGCTCTTTGCCTTCACTTTTGTGACAACACAGGACAGACACATTCACAGACCAGCCCCCCCCGCAACACACACACACACACACACACACACACACACACACACACACACACACACACTAGGGGGTCACCTCCATCCTCCTGTCACATTCATACTTGTCACAGCGTCACACACACGTGACCGCCTCCAGGAGGCCTGGGGATGCCCAGGCCACCCCGAGGACCGAGTGGGGATAGAGCTGGTCCCCCTTTGGGCCACCGGGAGGGGTGCCGTGCACAAAGCAGCGTCCCCCCGAGGCCGAGTGTGCCACATACCCGGGACCCGCCTCCCCAGAAGCAGCCTCTTTTCTGCGGCGTCGAGGTGCAGCAGTGTTACCTTGGGAGGGGGGTGGGCACTACAAGGCCCCGTGACCCCCCTCCACGCCCAGCGGGCACGCTTCACGTTCTGGGTGAGTCAACGTTCAAAACGAGGAAACACAACAGAACTGGCGTTTCTCCAAGGAGTCTAAGCTGCTGGCTCGCTGAGACCGAAGTGCCTGCCCCCGTCTCACGGCCATGCGTGGGGACGAGCATCCTTCGCAACCACCGTTAGGAGGTGACTCACCAAAACTTAAACTCTGGGAGCCTTCGAATGAAGGGCCGGAACTCCTCATTCTGTTTGGTTGGTAACGAGGGGCCATCATCTGAAAGGCAGAATGTCATCCGGAGGTGAGGCAGACAGTGCACCTTGTCGTTTCCACCGCTGCCCTTTTAAGGTTCCCTAGAGCTTGTGAACCAGCAGGCCTGATACGTGACATACAGATTTACATCCTTTAACCAGACATAAAATGGGGACCTTCAGTTGATTTAGAAACCGATTCACTGCTTTAGAAAATCTGTATTAGAATTTCTTTTTAAGACCACTTTAAGTGATCAGGTAAAAATTCAACCACACGCCGATTTCCAGGAACGCGTCAACTGTACAACACGAGGTACAGGGAGGATGCAAGTCCACAGCCCACGAGAGCACAGAGGCGGGAGCTGTGCATCCTCTCTCAGGGGCGCCGGGCTCAGGACGGCCACCCTCTGCAGTGAGCCACGAGCCAGGCCTCGGGCTGAGGCCCCCAAGCCACCTCCCACCCCACGTGGGAAGGTGCCCTCCCCAGTTAACAGATGGAGAAACTGAGGCCTACTGAAAGGGCCTCTTGTTTCCTAATCCCCCCAATGCAGCAGCAAATGAAAGGGTTGTTTCCTTTGCTATTTTCATCAAATACTCCACAGAAAAAAATACACAGGCTCCGATCGTGATGTGAACAGGCTGCGTAAGGTGTGCCCCTGCCGTTAACAACTGTGCCTCTGACTCCATGGGCTCCACAGGAGCTGCGTTGGGTTTTCCCAACGGTGGCTGCGACGCGCCGGAATGGAGGCCTCAGCATCTGGTCGTGAGCCATCCCCGCCCCCAGCTGGTCCAGCAGGTGTGTGCCAAGGCCCCCACCTGGCCCAGGTACGCCAGGAGCAGCCAGAGCCACGAACCTTTTAACCCATCGTCCTCAGGGGACATTGGGGGGCCAGTGGCCTCAGTCAGCCATGTGGAGCCGCCGTGGAAGCTTGCTTTTGTGAGAAAGGGACCTAACAGGCAAGCGTGGAGGGGACGTGGACGGGCCAGCTACCCAGGAAGCAGGCCCTGGCTCCCCCCCCCCCCCCCCAGATGGCTGTATGGCTTTTCTACCTTGTATCAGGGCTCCCAGATTCCCCCCCCCCCACCCCTGCGGGACCTCACCAGGTTCCACAGCCTGACGGCTCACTTTCCTCCTCTGCCAAATGGGGGTGACAGGAGCGCCTGCCTCCTGTGACTGTCACAAGGGCTTAGCAAGGTCGTTCCACAAACTTGCCAGGATCACTGAAGTTGCAGGTACATTTTAAGCACCCAGAGAACAGTCCCCAAAATTTAGATTTCAAATGTTTCCAGAGAAAATGGAGCAATCCTGGGAAGTATAGAAAGCCCACAACTCTCCCCAAACAGAGCAAAGTGGACAGTCTCTACTCTACCTGAATCTTCCATTAAGGAAGGATCCACTTTGGGAGAAAGGAAAGCTATGAAGAGATTTAGATGGTAGATTCCCAAGGCGTAGGTCACGATGTACCAACCCTGGAAGAGAAGGAGAAACGGTCAGTGAGGCCACCCTGAACCCATTCCCTGTCTGGACTGAACCAGGACATGGAGTCATAACAAGTGACCGAAGTGCAGTGAGCATCCACGCTGACAGTTTATCTTAAACTGCACCGTGGGTCTTGAGAGTGGATAAGCCAAGGTCCACACGGCAAACGTTTTCAAGGGTCCAGTTAGGTGCACCCAGGACGTAAAGCCACCAGCCCCCCGGAAGGCAGCAGAAACGGGGGTGCTTCACAAAGCCTCACACCCGAGCTGCACACCCGGGTCACAAGCCCTGCCCTCGGCCAGCGGCGCCTGACCCAGACGCAGGCTCTGGACCAGCCTGAGACACTGGGGCTCGAGCTCCTTCCAGCGGGCGGTTCGCACCACCGCACACTGTGTCAGGAATGTTCATAACGTTTGCCCAGAAGAAATCCAGAGGCGGAAAATCAGGAAACCAAGCACAAGTCAGCAAAGTGTCGTGGAGCCAAACCCCCCTCAGGCAGCACAGAGAAAGGGGCACACGTGCCACATGACTCGCTCTTAGAGGGGAGACTTCATCCGATCAGAACCACAACTGCACTGCAGGACCAACTGTAAAAGCCTAAACATTTTCACACAAACAAGATGAGCCCTTTCTACCTTAAAACGTTTTCAAGTCAAACAACAAAGACCTAAATGTGCAGAGTTAACAGCTGAGTGTTCCCACAGCTCCTCGTGGCGGGCTGAGTCTGAAGGGACACCAAGTCGGGTAGAGACTCAGCTCAGAGCACAGGAGAACCAACCCGTACGAGATGCACCCGCCCCTGCCCAAATCCCCCAAGTCAAGGTTTCTAGGTCATTCATTCCACTGAGAATGGACCAAGGTCCAGTTTCTTAAAAAAAAATCTAGACCCGATCACAGCAAACTGAACATCAGTTGTAGAGACACCCAACACAGACCGCACCCTGCTGCAGAGCTGGACCGGGGCCCCACCGCCTTTGCGCCGAGCCAGGGCTAGGCTTCCTTGTAGGAGCGCAGACACAATACCCTCCAAGGACAGGTCTCTGTGCTCAGCTTAGGTGCGAGTTCCCCAGAGCACTGGGCGCGGCACAGTATCCAGCAGGCGAAGTGCCCATCCGCACACACGCGCTCCTGACCCTCGGGAGACGCCCGCAAGGAGGGGGAGGAAAAGCCTGAGCCTCCATCCCCTGGACACAAGGAAGCATGAGCTGCCCTCCTCTCAGGGTCTACAGAGCACTCCCGTCCAGGAGCCCGGCACTCACCAAAGGTGTGGGGAGGGCGTCCATCCCCTGGAGGAGCCGTGCCGCCCTCGCTCACTCCACCCGGCCCTCCTCGGACACCAGCACGGCTCACGGCACCCAGGGAATGGGGTGGCCAGTCCGGGTGATTTTGTCCCTAGAGTCCCCAGCCCCCATAACCCGAGGCAGGGTCAAGGAGCGCCAGAGGGTCCCCTGTGCAGACCAGGACACTGGAGAGCACTGTCACCTCACCAGGCCCAGCTGACACCAAGACTGTCCTGTGAAGTCCAGCAACAGAACACAAGGAACTTAGAACGGGACGTAAACTTTTTTTTTTTTTTTTGCGGTACGCGGGCCTCTCACTGTTGTGGCCTCTCCCATTGTGGAGCACAGCCTCCGGACGCGCAGGCTCAGCAGCCATGGCTCACGGGCCCAGCCGCTCCGCGGCACGTGGGATCTTCCCGGACCGGGGCACGAATCCGTGTCTCCTGCATCGGCAGGCGGACTCTCAACCACTGCGCCACCAGGGAAGCCCGGGATGTAAACATTTAAAGACAGTCACTGAAGTCTTTCTTATACTTGGTGCTTAACTGAAAAATTATCTTTAGAGACCCTTTCCTTCACCATAAACCCACCTAATCCAGAGACAGAAGGAAAAACAACACCCCAGCCAACACCACAGTGCGGTGACTCGTCACCGCCACCCCTCACCAACCTGCAGCAGGTAAACTCGGATCATGTAGACGAAGCTCAGGCCCAGCGTCACCACCCATCGCACAGCCGTGTATGGCGTAGACTTGTCAAGCCAGGACTGATAGATCTGGAAAGAGAGTGCCCAAGTCACAGAGACTCTGCAATTCCTTCTGTAGAGCACACTTCCTGCCAGCACTTGCCTCAGATTTTAAGTCAATGGCACTGAGCAGTGACTACAATTAACCCAACATTTGCAGTGCTGCCTAAGGCAAGTCCACCCCTTAAGCAAAAATACTACAGAACCACCTCTTGCAACACGCAGTCCTACAGCATCGGCCCAAGGGGCCATCGTGGGGAGACTGAACTTAAACCCCAGAGAGGATGGGACAGAGAAAGGAGAATGGCACCACCCTGCATGTGGGGCACCACCCTGCATGTGGGACTCCACCCGAGGTTCCGTCCCAAAGCCCGCTTCCCCCGGAGCCGGTTCCAGCCCGCCCAGGAGCCGCAGAGCTGACTGCCTTAATCCTTAGATTCACATATGTGCACATGTGCGCCTACATACACGTGTACGTGTGTGTGTGTAATTGATATACACGCGTGTAGTCTAAATTTAATTTTGAGATTTTAATTATGAAAAATTTCAACCATTCATGAGAGAGAATGAGCCTACATGTGCCTGTCACCTGGCTTCAATAATTATGAACTTTTCCAGATGCTATTTTTTAATTTAAAAAATCAATGCAGTTTTAGTTTTGAACCAAACTGTGCGATTCTTCGCTGAGTTAGACTCCTTCCTCCAGAACTCATAGGCCTCGCTGCAGCCCCAAGGGGTATTCCCGCCACAGAGCGCAGGCCTGGGCCAGGGCCAGAGGGGCCGAGGGGACGCAGACATGGGTGTCTGGATGAGGGGACAGCAAGGGCAGAGCAGGGGCCGCCAGGTCCATCCCGCCCAGGAGCTAAGAATGGTTTTCACGTTTTAAAAGTTGTTGGAAAAAATCACAGAAGACAAGTACATGGCCTGAACCTCAGGAGACCCAGCACCCTCACGGCAACGGGAAAAGCTTCTGAGAGGGTGAACGAGAGACCCAGGGAGGGGCGCCCACCCTGCGGGGGCTGCCAGCACACTTACGCCCCAGGGAAACGTCCCAGGGTCAAGTCTCATTTAAATGTTTCCGCAACTCAGTGACCCAAAAACCAACCTGTCCAAGTCTTGTGAAGAATCTGTACACCACAGAAGGTTTCCCGTGGACGGAATCTCCCACACTGTCACCTTCTGACATGCTGTATGCAAGACAAATACAACATAGTTTTAAATTAAATAAAAAGTACTCAAGGACTGGATCATTCTGCCCTATTTTCATCAACATGTCAAGCAGGTTTCCTCAGCATTCACTGTTTCATCCACGCCGTGGCTTCCTTCTGTGTGTCTTTACCACCAGTCACCCAGAAAAAAGAAACCAGCCAGCGACACGCTTTGGTGGAGAGCCAGGAAGGCATGTGACATGCAAAGCAGCAGCACCGGGTGGACTTTCGTTCCTGCTAATGTCACCTGGCTCACACTCCTCCGGCAGGTCCCCAGGAGCCACCCTCGCTGACGGCCAAGTCCTCTGGCCCCATTTCTGTGTCCACCTCCTGAGGCCGGTCCACAGCACGGGCTACCGCGCCCAAGCCTCCCCGGGGCTCGCCGGCCTCCAGCACCTCCTCCTGCCACTCCTCGGGCTCCCCTCGGTGCCCCCACTTCTCTAGGCCCTGCCCTGGCCTCCGTCCAGGCCACTGCCCACGGTGCCAGCTGTGCACCTCCAGGTCCTCCCAGACCCAATCCCCACTCCACGACCAGGATCCTCAGGTGATCATCTGTCTGCGTCCCAGTTCCTTATCTGTGCGTGGAGGTAATCCTATCTGCTCCTGACCATTTCAACATGCCCTGCGATTCCATACGAGAACCCAGGTCACTAAGGGAAGCCAAGGGCATCGTCACCCCTATTCCACAACAGAGGATCAAGCCCCAAATAGTTTAAGCCACTTCTCAAAGTTAAGAGTAGCTCTGACCTCAGCTCCTGCAGCCCAACACACCCCCGCCTGAACCTCGGGACCAGAGGATGCAGAGGACGGAGGGCCCTGCCAGCCTGAAGCTGGTGAAGATGCCGGGGCAAAGCTCTCGCTGCCCGCAAACTTGCGGGCAGCTCCTTCCCGATCTGGCACCACGGCAGGGCTGGGGACCAGAAGTGGACTCCAGCTCGGAGTCTGTTTCCAGGGCCCCTGAGTGGCATGGCTGTGCGGGCTCAGTTTCCTCACTGGGGAGATGGCACCTGCTGGCACAGTGGCCCTTCCCATTCAGACAGAAAACCACAGCTCCCGACGGCCCGAGCTGCCCCAACGCCCGGCCTGCGCACAGCGGGGCTGTGGCCTGAACCCACGCCCACCGACACGTCCTCACCACGTGCACTGAGCAAGTCCGCAGGCTCACGATGCGATCCCGGGTCCCAAGTGGAACAACGTGCCCGTTACAGCTGACCCTTGAAGAATGCAGAGTTAGGGGCGCCGGCCCCCAGCAGTCGACAAGCCGAGTATAACTTTACAGTCGGCCTCTGGATCCGCAGTTCGGCCAACCACGGACTGTGCAGTACCGCAGTACTTTTCTCGTGAAAAAAATCCACACGTGAGTGGACCCATGCAGTCCAAACCTGTGTTATTCAAGGGTCAACTGTACAACTCAGGTATTAAAATAACCTGAGCAGTCCCACCACACACGTCATCACATCTGTGCTGAAAAGTCTGTCGTTCAGTGACACCATTTCCTGGAGCCACCGTGTGGAGGAGGCCAGCTAGGCCAGTGGGTGCAGGAGTGCCAGGAGTACCACAGAGGAGACTGAGAAATGCCCTTTGCTCTCAGGGGAGCCGAGGCTGAACTGAGCAGGCGAACTCCTGGTCCTGTCTTTTGAGGAGGTTTGTCTTTACGTTCAACTGGGAAAAATTCCATTTTTTAAAAGGGGCTACATTAGAACTTGTTACCTAGGACAGCCAGCCACCCTCTTTAGGCCAAAGCCAGGCCAGCAAAAAGCTACATCAGTAGCAGCATTTATCCTTCGGTTCCACACAAATTACCCCTTGCTTTACTGTTTTATGACCAAAGTGTTTACCTTTAAAACGCTTCTACGTGAGCTGAGGCAGTAAGATGGACGTTAGGAAAACCTGGGTATCCCTTTAAAGCACGTGCCCTAAGTAGAAATGGCTGCTTCTAAGCCTCATTCTTTCAACTGAACGTGTGGAAAATCTTCCCAAAACAAAACAGCCAATTTCAGATCACCTGGCAAACGACATGCGTGGTAACACACGGCTCCACACCATGGCTGAGCGTGCGTACAGCGACGTTTAGAACGTGAACTTTGGAGTCAAACGGCCTGTCTATGGCGTGACCTGCAGGCCACCTCGGCCGGCCCCACTCCAATCTGTAAAGCACCGTAGGCCCCTCCCGGGCCTCTGTGGGAGTGAGCGGCCAGCCGTGTTAGCATCAGCAGCAGGCCTGGCACGTAGGGCGGCCGAGGGAGGGAGGGAGCGAGCGGGTCTCCCTCAGACACGAGTCAGACCTGTTCCCGGCTGGGCATCTGCGGTCCTCTTCCCCCTGCTGTTCCAAGGCCGCCGCCTCGAGAGAGAGGCCCCCTGTGACTGTCCAACAGGTGCCGGTCCCTCACATCATGTCACCCTGTTTTATTTTGTGTGACGATCGTTTCTGATCTTTCTCTCTCTATTGCCTCCTACTAGAATGCAAGCTTCTTGAGGGGGAGCCTTGTCTGTCCACTGCCAGCCCCACAGCCCACAGGGCCCGGCACAGAGCTCGCAGTGGGTAAGTTCTCTGTTGGATGTCACTGCTTCAGGCTCAGCCTCAAGAAAACAAAGGCAAAAATAAGGCAAAACCATTCCAAGCAGAGACCAGGAGTATCACGTCTGGAGATTTGCATACAGAGTTCCAGAGTCATCACTGCACCTGTCTGTGGAGTGGACCTCCCTCCTCAAATGGCCCCCATTACACACAGAGGACAGTCCCGCCCGGCGCACGGGTCACCCACAATTTGGCTCCCACTGCCTCTCCGTTCATCCCCCTCCCCATTCCTCCTGGGTCCCCAGCGTGGTAATTTTCCACACCTTCGCCCTCTGATGCTGTTCCCTCCGCTGAAATGCCCTTCCAGACCCCATCCACTCGAGCGCTCGGCCAAGCCCCGCCGCCGGCTGCTCCCTCCCCTGGGCGTGACCACCTTCCCGTCTCCACCGGGCCCTGACCACACCGTACCTGCACCACCACAACCGGGGGCCCCGGGGAGTCCGCCTTACACATCCCCTGAAGTGAGACCCACCCGACCGAGCAGCAGGCGCCCCGGGACGCTCCCAAGCCCAGGTGCCCAGGGCAAGTTTCCGGAGGAAGCTCTGGGCCCAGCACGCGGGGCGCCGTCGGGCGGCTCGGCCCGAGCGCTCGGAATCCTCGGTTCGCAGGATGGCCAAGACTCGACCTCAAGACACCCAAGTCCACCGCGACGCTTCCTACCCAAATCCCGCAGACCGCCCTGGGTCGGCGAGGACACCGAGGCCCCACGGCCCGGGCCGGGCGGCCGACCCCTTCCAGGACGCGCCAGCGGGGGGCGGGAGCCAGTCATCGCGGCGACCCCAGGGGCCCCGTTCGGCCCCGGCTCGGCGCGCGGACCCCAAGACCCCGGCCCCCGCCCCCGCCCCGCCCCACCCCACCCGCCGGCACCTCGCGGTCCACTGCGGCCGAGCGCGGTCTCCCGAGGGCCGCGGGAAAGAGGACGCGAGTGACTGCCGCGCCGGCGCTTCGCTCGGTCCGGGACGACGCAGCCGAGCACTTCCGCTCCGTCCTGAGCGGCACCGCCTCCCGGGCCTTCAAGATGGCCTCCGGGGCGGGGCCGAGAGCCTCCAACCATTTCCGCTTCCGGTGCGGACGCCCAGGCCGTTGGCGGGGCTGTCGCGTCGGCGGAAGGGATGTAAGCGGCGGAAATTCGCCGCGTTGCGCAAGCGCAGTCGCGTCCTCTGGCTCCGGGCCCAGACAGCTCCGCTCCAGAGATTGGTAACGCCCAGAGACTGAGCCCGAGGCCACGCCCCCTCGCGACCAACGAGCCAATGGAGGAGTGCTATGAGGTTGCTAAGGGAAACTCTAGAGGCAAGACGGCGTCCGCCCGTGATGGGTGCTCGAGCTCCCGCCTGGCGCGCCGAGACCCGCCGGCTCGGCCACCGCGGGACGGTAACAGCCGACTGCGCCCTACCGGGCCTCGGTCGGGATGGGAGGGAGGCGGGCAGGTCCGGGCGCTTTCTGCGTGTCCCCGCACACGCATTTTCACTTCAGGAAGTCCAGAACCCGCGGCCCCCAAGCCCAGCGGGGCTCCCCACGCGCGCCTCCCCCGAGCCCAGCCCGCAACCTCTGGAAGCCTTGTCGCCCCCGATTTGGGAGGGACGCGCGTTCGCGTGTCCCGGTGCCCGCGGGATGGGCGGGGTCCCGGGCCCAGAGTAGCAGAGCCGCCGTGTCTTGGAGACCCAGCCGGCAGGAACCGAGTCGACCCTGGGTGTCCCTGCGTCCTGGCAGGGGTCGCCTCCTCTGACCGCGCCTCCCAACGTCCCCGACGCGCGGTCAGAGGAGGTTTGATAGGACCTGTTCATAGAATGAAAACAACGGGGCCGTAGAGATCCGAGTCCACACCTCTTAACTTCAGGTAGACCCCGAGCCTCATTTATGGCAGGTACCAGAGTCTGGCAACCCCAAGCTTCCCTAGAAGTGCTCGCCCCAAGTTGGCCTTGAAATAGGGGCCTTGAAATAGGGGGGAAGGGGGCCCTGCCGCCTCCAGGAACTACTGGAGTTGCGGGATGGTGCACCCAGCAGCTGAGTGGCAAGAAGTGACGATGGGCAGGCCCTCCTTGGGTGCAAGTGTGGATTTTGTCTGGAGGGCACAGGAGGCCACTGGGGGGATGAGGTCCCTGCAGAGAGATGACCGGGACGGCTCTTCCCCTTGTGCCCTCACTTACCCCCAGCTAATTCGGCTCAGTTCAAATGTCCCGTCTCAGGAAGGCTCCCCACCCCCGTGCACACCCATCCACCCTCCCACCAACCCGCATGCTCCTCTCAAGGACCCTGCACTCCCTCCTAGCCTGCCTCCCCCGGGGCCTCTCTGCACAGAGTAGGTGCTCAGCGTGTCTGGTGCATAAACAGATGAACAGGGAGAGTCGTGACCCAAACTGAGCCTTTGGGGAGCAGTGGGCAGGGGAGTTCACTGGGGGTGAAGCCACAGACACCTGGAGAAGCCCCCGGGACAGCCCGCACCTCAGTGCTTGCTGGTCATCAGCCAGGTCACCTGTGTCTCTTGCTAACCTGTGCGCCTTCCTTTCAACATTCAGGTTACGGAGTCTACGTTTACCCGAATTCTTTCTTTTGATGTGAAGGAGAATGGAGAGGAAGCAGGAAACATGGTAAGGATGGGCTGTGGCCTCTTCCTGCAGCCATGCCGCTGATGGCCCGTGTCCCTGCCGATCTGGGGGCCACACAGGTGCTGGCCACACCGGGCCCTCAGCACTCACTAGTGCCCGTGTGGGGCCATCCTGCAGCGCTGGAGGCCTGGACAGCTCCCCTGGTGCTGATGAAATCTGCTTTTCTTTTTTTGCCTGACGATAAAGAGACTGCCTGTTTTTGTAGAAAATCTAAGCAGCAGAGGAGAGCAAGTATCAAGTGAAAGTCCCCTGGAGTCCCCCCCAGAGGCAGGCCTGAACTTTCCAAAGTTTACACTCATGGTTTTGTGCCTGTTTGGGGTTCTGTCTGCTCACATCCTCTGCCTGGTTTTCTACTGGAGGATTGATCTTTCAGTATTTTCTCACGAGCTATTTTTATATCTGTTGGCTGCCAGGATTTTCTATATTTTGAAACTTTTGACTTTTATTGACTTTTCTTGTAACGTTTTTGCCCCACGGATGTTTCTCCCTTTTGTGCTGAAATCTCTGATTCTCTTCCTGGCCTGGACAGAGTGGTTCCTCCTTTTTGAAATGTATGCTTCAGTGTCACCCTATGACCACAGACTCTCTCTCTCTCCTTCTGCCACTGCACTGACAGAGGCGAGGTGGCCGTCGAGTCCCCTCTGAGGAGGGCTGGGGGCGGGGTCGTTGCACTTTCGATGGCCAGAACAGCAGGACGACGCTTGGTCATGTTTCATGGACGTTCTTGTTGGTGGACGTGTGTGGGTGAGCCTGCAGAGAGCACGTGCTGGACGAGAGATGGAGCCAAACGCAGAGACTTTCATGGCTCCGCGCTCATCGCTGAGAAACGAGCCCAGCCACACGCATGCCCCAGCGGCCACTCCCAGCCACTGCCTGACAGCAGGACGTCTTTCACCAGGTCAGGGCAAACCTCTGCTTAAAGACAGGAGTTACTACGAAGGTGAGTTTGTAGACGGAGAGATCACGGGAGAGGGCTGCCGGCACTGGGCCCTGACAGGTTAGCTGGCCCGACGCTTTCCTCCTAAACCAACCTTGGTGTGAGCTGGCCCCTCCCTTCCGGGTGCAGAAGGCACTTCCATCTGGAACCTGGGGACCCCTGGTTTCCCTAAGGTGTCTCGTAATGGCCTCATGCCAGCCTGGGGCAGGGTGGCCACACCGCTGCCCGCAGAACCTCAGACCCCCACCGGCAAGCGGGTGTTGGGTTCTCAGCGGAGAGAAGCCTCACCCCACGGACTCTGGCCTGGCGGGGCCTTTGCCCCCAGCACACAGATGCCCCAGAGAGGGTCCCCTTGCGATGGAGTCTGCACATACACTGCTGGGAGTGAGGGAGTCCCATTTCCCTCGTTCAGGGTGAGCGGTGAGATAAAGGGACACCGTGTTCTGCTACCACTGCCTGCGGGTCGGGCAGGAACTACTGGTTACCCCGCTGGACTCAGGAAACGAGTCTAACCCTGGACACGGCTTCCCGCCTCCCGTCCACACCAGGGAACACCTGCACCGGACAGTTTGTTTTGGGAGAACGCCAAGGTCAGGGCGTCGTGAAGTGCAAAGCCGGCGGGGACCTTACGAAGGGGCTCTTCTGCAGCCTGAGAGAAGACCTGGGGTCCGCGGGAAGGCGTGAGGCATCGACCTCGGGGTGGACACTGTGGGGCCCGGGCCCCAGCCGTCCCCGGATACTGACTCGGGGCCTGGACGGGCCCGGGCGCGAGTGCACTCCCCGGTCCGGTGAGGTTCAGAGCACAGGGCTCACAGCGAGCCCCTCAAACCTGGTGACTCAGGTCCCCGCTCTGCCATCGCCCTCGATCCCGTGTCAGCGGTCTGGCCTAGGCTCAGCCGGGTGGGTCTCCTGGCCTCGCTGAGGGTCTCAGTGGCTCAACCAGCACTGTGGGTCCTCTTGACCCTCGGCTCGGTCACCTCCTCCACGTTCTGTGGGACCCAGCCAGTCAGGAGGCCACATTCCGGGGAGCAGCAGGCAGAGCCCCGGGGTTGCCGGAGCGAGCGGAGCAGTCCCAGCCCCTGACAGCACGCCCGGCGCAGGCGCAGCTCTGACCCCTCCAAGGCCTCCCGTGAGGGGTCAGGACGCCCCCCTTCCCGAGGGTCCAGGCCCTGAGACTCCGTGTCCTCGCGAGCACTTCGTCTGGCCTTTGGGCCCTTCGAGTAGGTGGTAGAGGCCCTGCACGACTGTCGGTCCTCAGCGTGAACTCGCACCTGCGAGCTGGCCTTGACCGCGCGGCAGCACCACCCCAGCCAGACAGCAGAGCGTTTCAGTCTCCGATGCGGGGGGGTCCGGGCGCCCCCACCCTCCCTCGGGACCTTGAGAGCTGGACTCAGAGCCGCTCCCACTGCGTGTGGCTGCCAGGCCGCCCCCGATCGGATCACGGGGCTGGGGGACCCCCGTGGGCCTGGCTACAGGGGCTGCCGGCCCCATTCTTCTTCTAGACACCCCCTCCCCCAGCGGGGGCACGAGGTGACCCTCGACCCTCGCCTGCCTCCAGGACAGGGGCACCTGGTGGACGCAGATGGACAAGTGTACTGGGGGTCGTTTCTCGACGACAAGCGGCACGGCCAAGGGCGGGTGGTCTTCTGGTGAGTCCGCTGTCCTGTGGGCCGTACCTGCATCGAGCACCCAGCGCTGAAAGTACCGTCTGTGCTTTCTTCATATGATCCTGCAATTTCCCCCTCAGTTACTGGCGTTGGTTCTGTGTGTGTTTAGTAGAAACAACATCCATCCCCCTCCTCCAATGAAACACCAGGTGAGAAGGTCGGGTGGGTGGGAGGGTGGAGCGGGGCCGAGTCGGGTGACACCCGCGGGCTCTCAGCTTCGGGCCCAGTGCTGGGCGTCTTTCACACTCCGGGCAGTTTTCGTGCAAAATCCTGCCCTTGGGATTTGCAGGCCCCCCCATTTCCTTCCCGTTATCCTCTCCAAACCTTCACACCTGGGGCCCAGCAAGCGGGGCCTCCCATCACTGCACCGCACCGGGCGCCGAGGCCACCTGCCCCTCTGGCCGGGCCCTGGCAAGGCCGCAGCTTGCGCCATCTGTTCTGGGCCTATTTTTGCCTTGGTCCCGGGGGTGCGTGCTGAGCCCCGGTCGGAGGAGCCGGTGTGCGTCACACAGCCACCTGGCCCTTCCCAGCCTGAGAGCAGCCTCTGCGTTTGTCCCTCAGGAACGGAGATGAGTACGAGGGCGACTGGGTCCGGGACCGGCGCCAGGGCCACGGGACGCTGCGCCATGTGGACGGCTCCATCTATGAGGTACTGGACCCACCAGCCGGGCGTCCTCTGCTCCCGGTTCCGCCCGGGACGCAGCCCAGGTGCTGCCTTTCTGACCCTGCGAGGTAGGGTTGGCCACCGTTCCCGTTTCGCTGATGAGAAGATGCGGTTCAGAGAGCTTAAGGGCCACCCACTAACACCTTTCTG